TATTATTATCATTATTATTATTATTATTATTTATAATTATTATCATTGTTATTATTATTATTATTATTATTATTGTTTCTATTATTATTATTATAATTATTATTATTATTATTATTATTATTATTATTATAACTGTTGGTGTCAGGCATAGGACACTATCTAGGAAGCCTAGGCCTAGTCTAGTCAGGGGAGGACCTAACTCTCACAGCTTGTTACAGACGTACATCCCATAAATCGATAAAATTTCATAGGCCTACTGTTCTATTTTCTCTATGCTGTAGGTAAACAAATAGAAAAAACATAATAGTACCGTAATATTCGAGCGCCACGACATTGCGAATGTTGTTTCCTACGTTTTAGTAACCGACTGTAGCTCATTCAATTTAAATGGGCTTTCACCATTGATAGTGTAGAATTTCATTAAATATGTCTTAAACATATTATTGGATTTTACAATTTTCTGTATCTATTCCATTATTCTATTAGGCCTATATTTTTAGATATGGTGTCAACATTAAATGAACAATTAGGTGTTTCATGGCCGTATTAACAATGCTGTAAAACCCGGTTTCATTTTCAAAGCACTTTTCTCAATTTATTGCCTATAATTAATTGTTTGTATCCTAATTACTGCAACCGAGTTTCTTTTGTTTTGTATTTGTATACCTAAAGTATATTTAGTTGAAAACATGAATTGCGATACCATAAAATTTCAAATATATGCATGAAGTTTTTGGTCGTCCCAGTTACTCTGAGTTTTGAGTGCTTGCACCAGCGGGTGTCTATAAAAAGACCGAAGACCCAAAAACGAAGACCCCTATTTTTTCTGTTTTATTTTGATGATTATAAACCTGGCTGTCACAAAATCAAAATTACGAAATTTTTTGGGCGTCTGTTTGTGAAATATTCAAGGGTCTTCGTTTTATAGGCACCCTATATGGGTGTCTACAAAATGAAGACCGAAGACCTGAAAAACGAAGATCTTCAATTATTTCGCAATTATCTTATTGTAAGTATTTCAAAATCATCATAAAACAGTACGTATTTCATCGGAATAAAATTAGGAATATCAAGAAATACTTAAGGGTCTTCGTTTTTATAGACACCCATGGGTGTCTATAAAACGAAGACCCCTATTTTTTCTTCTTTGTTTTGATGATAATACATCTGGCTGTCACAAAATTACAATTACGAGGTTATTTAAACTTTAGTTTATGAAATTATCAAAGATCTTCGTTTTATAGACACCCATATATGGGTGTCTACAAAACGAAGACCGAAAAACGAAGACCCACATTTTTTTCTCTCAATCATGATGAACATAATATTTTTAAATCATTTTATCATGTTTTGTAAACACCCATATATGGATGTCTATAAAACGAAGACCTTTGGTAATTTCACAAACTAAAGTTCAAATAACCTCGTAATTGTGATTTTGTGACAGCCAGGTGTATTATCATCAAACCACTACTGTTTACTGCCTCAATAATGTCATACTATTCTTCCTCTCTCCACTCTCACTCACTCCCAGCCTCTCTCCCTCTCTCTCTCCCCCTGTCCTTGTCTGTCTTCCTTCAACCTTTCCTCTAACTTCTTTGTGGCAACCTCTTCAAAATTCTAGTCTATTTCTTGTACATCTCTGAAAGCCATTTCGCTTAATTTATGCTCTTATTTATCTGTTTTATTGTTAATTTTGTAATTCTTCCTTCCAATTTTTTATACTTTCTCACTAGCATGTTTGGATTCGTCTACCATCTTTTCTACCTTAGCCATTCTTTCCTCTATTCCAATCACAGTTTTTTCAATATTATATTTAAATTGCTTAATCCCTTTTTAATATTTTTATTCGTCATAAGTCTTTTTCCATTTCAATTAATCTAGGATAGTGCTACCTCATGATACTTTACTATCACTTGTACTGCTCTCTGGACCTTGCATTTTCGCCAGGTGTACTGTATGTCTACTTGTGTCACTAACTTAAGGTCAACGTATTATCGTACGCAAATACTTCAAGATCAGGATATTATGTACGTGTTATTACGCAAACTTAAATTATTATTATTATTATTATTATTATTATTATTATTATTTAGGAAAAAAAAACAATCTACGATTACAAGAACGCCCTTACATAAAGTATACCTCCATGCAATATGTACGTGTTATTACGCAAACTTAAATTATTATTATTATTATTATTATTATTATTATTATTATTATTATTATTATTATTATTTAGAAAAAAAACAATCTACGATTACAAGAACGCCCTTACATAAAGTATACCTCCATGCATAAAGCTACTTTAGAAAACATATAAAATTTGAAGATGCACTAGGCTAAGACCAAGGACACAATGTCTTTCTCAAAGTGAAAACAACGATAAGTAAGTAACTACGCAACCGCTTATGTCGTTTTATAAATATGCTTAAAATCATAAAAGGTACTTAAAGTTTTAATTACATTTTTCTTTAATATTAGACACCTTGTTCATCCATTAAATATATTTTCGTCACGGTAATCATACTTTTGTCGACTGTTTCATCCTTAACTCATTAAATGCACACGCTTACTACTGTAGTTAATTATGAAATATCCTTTCTGAAGAAATTATTGATTGTTTTTATTTGGTAGGGAAGCACATCAGGGACATTATAAATTATATTGCTAGAATTTTTTTTTTATCACATTCTCGAATCCGTTAAAGAAAACAATAGAGAATGACAATAATTAATGATACTTTAAGCTCACTTCTTGTTTTTTCTCCTTTTATTTGCGTTTTGATGACGGTGAAGGTCAATATATCACTCTATGTATCAAAAAAGGTGTTTAGCTCTGGTTAGTTCATTATATCATTGCGATCGTACGTGGAAGCAATCTCGACTATTTGGACATTACAACAATCACGAAGTCATATTACAGTAGTGTGATGTCTATGACATAATTAACCAGGGGTGGCGCCAGCGGGGGGACCGGGGGCCAGGCCCGCCCCCGTTGGAAGGTCCCCGCCCCACCCCATCGGGGAGAAAAACCACAATTCGTCGGGGAGAGAAAAAAAATTATATGTATTTTGTACATATTATTAGTCGTTGGTAGTTCAAAACTGATTACTCCCGATCGCAATCAACAAACGCATTCAGACCCCACCCGATTCTACCTAATAGATCCGATAAGTATCAGTTTCGGTGAAATCACAATTCATGATGCCGTCACCAAACCTGATTAGGTGATTCTGATCAGATGATTGCTGACTGGTGCTCTCGCCAATATAGAAGTGTATTAGTATTTGTCACCGAAACTGATCACTTGGGTAGAATCGGCTGTTCAGACCAACACAAATTTCACATTCTAGGACCTAGGCCTCCGGTGGATATGCCTATGTTGACTGACCTCAGCCAAACAGTGCCTGTGGAATTCGTTGGTTGTGGATTCGTTGCGATCAGGAGGTAATCGAGAGTAAATAAAGAGTGTAGCATCCAATCACAACGGGTAACAATTGCGATATCGATTACTTATTGACTACTATTGGTGAGCTTTCACACACGATTTTACTTTGCGATTGGGTGTCGAAATTGTAGTGGCGTGATCAAGGGGGTGCGCAGGGGGCTTCGCCCTCCAAATATTACTCGCGACCTCCAGTCGCCCCTCCAAAAAAAAATCATGGTCAAGTAGTTAAAAAGCACCTAAAATCACCTTATTTTGCGAATAAGCGCCCCTTAACTGATAATCGAGGCACCCCCCCCCCCAACCACCCTCAAACTTCACCTTCGCGCCTCCATCTGCACCCCTATTTCAAGGCTTCTAGATACGCCACTGCACAATTGCTACAACAGATCGCAATGCGATGTTAGTCTGAATGGGGTATTAATCAACCAACACCATGTAGTCTACCCCATTGATAATGTTACCTTTTATACTTGGCAAGCAGGGGCAGATTTAGAGGGGGCGGCCCGGCCCGGCCCCCTTTTGGGAGGTAAACAAAAGAAAAGAGAAAGAAAAAGCAAAAAAATGATAGCCCAGAAAGTCTCGAGTGTTATTTTCGGGCGTCTAGAACACAAAAATTTCGCGGAAGCACGTCCCCGGACCCACTAGGACAGTGTTATCTCGATCGGACCAACTTTCGGTCCCACCTTTCGGCCCCACTTTTGGACATCTCTCGATCCGCCCCTGGCAAGTATTTACCATACTACATTAGCACACCTACTATAATTATTTGCATTTTGTAAGGCAATAATGGCTGTATGCACATAGTGGTCTTATTGGCTTAATGCTTCTTCAATTTACTGCGATAATTAGGCCTATAGTGTATCGTCATAGCAATTGCCATAATATAAAAGACATTGATATATTACCGTCATACTTGGCCTGCTCTTCTATCAGAGTTAGGCCTATGTGTTTTACATTTGGTTAATATACTAAAAGAAATAATTCAAAAATTCTGATTAACATGATGGACACAACAAGTCTGATATACAGTATCATCGGAGCAATCGGCTGCTCGACAAATGGTTTTGCAATATTCATTCTTTTTAATTTGCAGAATCGGTTCAGTACAACAAATCTTCTGATCTTAAATCAGTGTTTCATCGACCTTTTCGCATCTTTGATGTCACTCTGTCTTTTTCTTGATCCACACTTGATGACTAGGCTCCCAGAATCAAATGTTGCAGCAGAATTCATTTGTAAGTTCTGGTCAAGCAAGTACATATTCTGGTCAACTACATATGGCTCAACAGCTAATCTTGTGGTACTTACATTTGATCGTTACTTTGCCGTAATATATCATCTAAAATACAATATATTCAAGGAAAAGTTAAGGATGAAAGTATTACTATTGCTGATTCCCTGGATATGTGGGTTTGGGTTTATCTTCATGTGGCTAATGGTACACACTGTGAAGAATGGAGAATGTATCCAGATATGGCCAAGTGTTGGTTATCAGAAAACGTTTGGTTTATTGTGTGGTGTTTATATCCTTGTCATTCCTATCAGTGTAATGCTGTTTGTTTACTTCAACATTTTTCGCGCGCTCAGAAGACGAGTTGGAGATGGTTCATCTGCAGTGAGTGATAACAGTGCGGCCAGACGGCTGAATATCATTAAGACAATGCTGATAGTCGGTGTGACATACGTTATATGTTGGACTCCAAACGAAATGGTTTTTATCAACTTTACATTGGGTGGCGCGTTTTATTTCAACGGACCAAGTTACTACATCACAGTCGCATTGGCTCTGTGTAACATCTGTATAAATCCAATAATATATACGTTCAAGTATCAAGACTTTCAAAAAGGTATGCAAAAAACTGTACCATGTTTTAAGCGTATATATTCTCTGCCATGTCTTAAGTCTGAATCCATATCAAATAATGCTGTTCAACTTGGAACTGTGTCTACAAATGTAGTGCCATAATTCTAAATATCTTGTTAGCAGGTGAAGGAGTCGCCACGTTCGCTGTGGAGACATGATAGCATTTAATCGCGTTTCCTAAGTTCCTTCTGCGTATCCCCTGATGACAGAACAACTTAAGAAAGAAAACTTCATAGTACCAGCTAATTGTTTAGTAACCACAGATGCGTTTGTCCTACTTTGATGCCTCCCATAATCTATAAAATCTAATAAAAGGAAAACAAATTGTGTCATCATGATACAGTATATCTAACTGTTGTCATCATTAACAAAAAATCAGAGACTTCTTTTTTTTTTATCGTCAACCTATCATCTAGAAATTACCTGTGTTGGATTAATTACGCTCACGTAGAGAATGAAAAACAGAACTTTCATTAGAAAACGTTATCGTCACAAATTAGGAGACAAGTGTAGACCGTTTAGAACATTGTCTTCAAACAATTTAAAATACTCAAACCTGATCTGTTTAAGAACCATCAATGGTAGCATTGCATGAATTACAGCAATCCATACAATTTGCTACGGGCCAAGACAAACATTTTTAAAGTTCTTGGGTTTTCTGTATACAGAAGTCTGCAACTCCCACTTGATAAATTCTCCTGTGAGAGTAACATTTTGGTCTCACCACAGGTGTAAGGAAAACAAGCATTTTACAGTTTAACATAATAGGACAATGTAATTTTACAGTCGGTAATTTTTCGCTTGAAACTATTAGTAACTTTCTTTTTTATCTTGGATCAATAGTTACTAATAACCACTCTCTGGTACCGTAGTAAACTAAACATACTGATGGGAAAGCGTCTACCACCCTTAGCCTGATGTCTTTGTGTGCTTGGGAGGACAGAAATACGTGGCTGTCAAGATCAAAGTATATATGGCGTGTGTCGTTAGTGTCCTTTTGTATGGACCAGAATCATGGACAGCAATATGATAGGCAAGAACAAAAACTAAAAGGCACCTCCGTTGCCTGTGGACTATCTTGAATATCGGCTGGCACGACAGAGTAACAAATAACAGCTTGATAGGTGTGGCATTCCTTCAATGTTTAGCCTATATTAATTCGACAGCAGAGACTACGATGGCTAGGCCACACCAGGAGGATGGATGATACAAAAATCTTCAAGAATCTATTGTATAGTAAACTTGCAAACGACAAAAGATCCAAATGGCGTCCTTTTTTGCGATTTAAAGATGTATGCAAAAGATATACGAAGCCACATATGAAGACACGCCCCCCACATGTTTTTTAAGGGAGCTGGTCTCCCACTTTTTGACCTCAATGTACTTGCATAGGTCATGTAGATGCCTGCCAATTGTTGACATGAACTGCATAAATGAATCAGGTTTTATCGAAATAGCGCAACACTACCAACTCGTATCTTGTAGAAAGATATCTCTGCCTACAAACATCTGAATCACCTATAATACACGACTCAAGTGTGCGTTCCTTTATTATAATTTGAGAAATATGAGAAAAAGCGTGTAATAATAAGATTTGTTTTCGGCATATTCACGTGGCTTTAAAGTAGGTAAAGTAAAGTAAATACATCAAAGGCAATTTTTTTTTTAAGTTTTATTTTTTATTTTATATATAAGAGTATCATTTCCGGTCATCAAGAGGTATTATTTCCACAAATGTTCACACCTCAGCCTCAACCATAATGACGCTGAGGTGGGTGTCTCGACTTTCGACTATCCCCACCTTTCAAAACAGATAAAATAAAATATATAACAAAACAAATCCGAAGAATTCACCGGCGTCAAAAGATACCAGCAGGGAATATCAACTGCCTAGAATTTTACCGGAAGCAGCAATGGCACGCGGCGGCGAAAACAAAACTTCAACTGAGCATTAACCAAAGTAAACTCACTCCACTGCTTGCCGCAACCACGCCCGCTAAAAATCTCACTAAGCAAAAAAAAATAAAAAATAAAAATTCTTCCATTTGGTTTATATTGTTTTTAGATTTGCATTTTAAGAATAAATATACTTTTCTATTTTGTCTTTTGATTTTACAAAAAAAAACTTAATTAGGCTTTTCATAATAGGCTTTAGATTTTTTCGACATTGAAAAAAAAAATATGGTTTTACCAATATTGCCTAAGTAGTGTGATTTAGAAAGCCAAAGAAAATGTGTTGCCCCTGAAAGTGTTAATAACAATTGAAATTACAGTTTATATAACGTTACAAATCTGGCCACAATTTAGAAACTAACAAACAATCCCCAACAAATGTTAAACTGTTTCAACCCCTCTACGGTAATTTTACCGATTATTCTCTCATTTTCTAATCAACTTAAGAAACATATTCTTTATACTGTGAAATATTTTTATAATGTATTTTTTTTAATTTTGATTGAAATGTACATTTATTTGCTACCTAAAAAAAAGTTTTTCCTCAATTAAATTAGGCCTATCCAAAAATGTTTTTGAAATTGTCTTAAAGATTTTTATCTGTACTTTTTCTTTTCTTTCCCTTAAAAACATATAACTTTTAGTATCTAAAACAACACGTAATTGTATCTCAAATAATTTGATTTACGTGTGTGTATTAAACAATGTGGACATACGACTAGAAGAAGATATTTAATCACCGTGTATACATAGAAAGTTTGTAGGCTAGTAAAATGATCAGATATGTTACTTATAAATCTATTTATATAAATCATTTTGTTTTTCTTTTATCTTGTCTGTTTTAATATAGCTCTACTTAGGCTTTCTTATATATATATATATATTAGTATATGTATTATAAGTATTATGTATTAGTCCAATACTATCCAGATTCAAAGAATGTTTTTATGCTCTTTTTCTAGCGATATGAAACAGTAATATATCATTATTATTGGCATTATTACGCATATTTTGTATTTTAAACGACTAAGATTGTATTCCATTTAAAAGGTAATTTTCTAATACCTTCTTGCCTACCTTCACAATGATGAACGACTTCAATCGAAACGCTACCCTTCTTTTGATATATAAAAATCCAAGTATTTGTTAGTACCTAAAAGTATAGGCCACGGACACTCAGTGTCAAAAACCTCCTGTTCAGTTCAGTTCAACTTTATTTATCCACGGAGGCCCAGATCAACACAGGGTTGTTCTTCCCTGGGGCCGTGCACAATAATACATAAATACAATAATTACAGTACAATATATAAAAGGTATAAAAACATTTGTACAACAAGGAACAATCAGAACAAGATAAAATGATTAGATGATTAGAGACTTAAAGTTGACTTAATTTGAATTTAAATGAGCGCAGTGTTGGAGCTGTTTGAATGTCAACATTCAGGTTGTTCCATTCCAATGCCCCTTTATAGGAAAGACTACGTTTTTTATATTCAGTCTTTGGTAATGGCAGAACAACATTTTTCTGGTTATGTCTTAAGTTGTAATTATTTATATTATAATTAAACATATTCAAAAGATAGGTTGGTGACAAATGATAAAGAATTTTATATACAAATATATTGCGATTTAAAGCTTGCATATCTAAAAGTGTTTTCCATTTAAGTTGGTTTCTGACTTCTATGCTGGATGTATCCCAAGATGCCCCACAATTATTCTTCCTGCTCTATTTTGGATTATTTGTAAACGTTTGGCTTTTGTTACTCCACAATTAGACCATACAACATTACAATACTGGAGGTGAGGAAGAACTATGCTATTGTATACATTTAAAAGAGTGGATTGAGGAATGAATGGTTTTGCCTTTTTTAACATATATATACCACTTAGTGCTTTTTTACGAACATTTTCAATTTGATCATTCCAACTTAAATATTTATCAATAATTACACCAAGATATTTACATTTATCTACCCTAGTTAAATTAATACCATTGATATTTACAGATAAACAATTATTTACAGTACTTAGTCTTTGTCTGGAACCAATTAGCATGAATTCAGACTTTTTAACATTGAGACTAAGTTTATTGCTTTCGAGCCAGTTGTTAATATTTGATAAATCGTTATTTAAACATTGCACAATATTATTTGCAGATTTAGAGGCATAGTAAATGGCAGTGTCATCAGCATAGAGACTTATATTACAATGAGAGATACAATTTGGTAAATCATTGATGTAAATTAAAAAAGCAAGTGGTCCAATAATAGATCCCTGAGGCATTCCACACTTAATATTTAAAGTTTCTGATTTTATACCATTAATACAAGTAGTTTGAGTACGATCAGTTAGATAGCTTTTAAACCAGCTAATACAATATTTACTACATCCGTACATTTTTAGTTTATTAAAGAGTATGTTATAATCCACAGTGTCGAACGCTTTTTTCAGGTCGAGCATGCATAATCCAATTAAGTTACCATTGTCAATTTCATCAAACCATTTTTCTGTAATATTTACAAGTGCTGTAGTTGTGGCTTCGATCACCAGCCTTAAAAATGGGTAGTACATTAGCTTGTTTCCAATTTGTTGGAAATTTGCAAGTTGTAAACGAGTAATTAACAAGGTGTGTTATAATGGGGGCAATTATGGGTGCAGCTAGTTTTAGGAGTTTAGAGGGAATATTGTCACAGCCAGTAGCTTTATTTATAGATAGTTATGTACTATTAGTGCTAAACCAATAAGACGTTTGGTTGGTGTGAAGTTTATGAAAATATATCAAAGTAATCAATTAGATGATACCTATAACTTAAAAATATTTACAACATTAATTCACATGGCATTTATGACTAGGCTGCGACGCCAGCACTCAGTACAGCATTCGCTGTTTCTCTACTAAGTGTGATTTACTCATAGTGAGAGAGTGGTTTACGCCTATGTTACATATAATAGCCACTTCTAAGTTGTATAACATTAACAATACATATTTGTATTGCTTTGTATTTGTTTATGTTACGAATAAAGAGATACATTTTAAATAGGAGGATTCTGCATGTTTAAGAAACTAGTCACAACAATCTCTAAAAAAAAACTCCTTGTATACATTACTTGTGTTTTTACTTGCTTACTTGTTGTTTAGATTCTCTCTAAGCTTAAACTTCTGTATATATCTGTGGCTCTTTCATCTAATGGCTTTGTCTATTAATAGTGAAAAATCTCTTTATATGTGTCCTAAAACTCGTTAATAACTGTGTGTATCTCACATTCAACTGTTCCATTAATTTATTATCTCAAATTAGTAGATTTGGTATGGAGACAAAAACAACATTTCATGAACAGTTTTGTATTGCATGGCCGTATCGTTAATACAGTATTGTAAAATTTGTAAAACATTTTCCATTTTAAAAACATTTCTTTATTGAGTTTATTTCCTATAACTAATATTTCTTTCTTATTTAATTGTTTATTATTATCAACATTATTTATTTATATTTGTTATTGTTCATGTTATTGCTATCGTTATTTTCTTATTAATATTATTATCAAAATAATAATATTAATTATAACCCGTCAGGCGCCGGCAGAAAGCTGGGAGAAGTATGTTGTAATACTATGATTTCATGTGTCTCATAATGAAAATGATTACCTATTTATTCGTTGAAAATATCACAAATAATAATTTTTTTTTAAATACACAATGTTAACGAGAAGCTGTCACTACAAAAACAGAGAGATTTTGTTTCATCTCGTTGTAATGTTTAGTCCGAAGACATTTCCAGTGGAGTCCTGCTGGTGAATGGGCAGTACACTGAGACACAAGGTTTAGCCAAAGGGTGTGCCGGTTGCGATTTTTTTTTTCAGTACGAAACATTTGCAAGGTACTATCAAAGGCAAGAGAAAAAGAGGCTTAGCATAGGCCTAACTACAAGCTGAGTGAGCACCTAGGCCCCCTAGGCTAGATAGGGTCCTAGGCCTGACACCAACAGTCACGCTTCACATGACATTAATTAAAATTTGTAAAAAATATGGGAAAAAATTGAAGCATGAAATTTAAAATGGGACAATGCGTAAAAAAATATTATTAAATAATAATAAATTTAAATATCATTCCGGCATTAATGGGTATGCCTGAATCTCTTCCAATTACAGCGCCACCATCAGTGATAACTAGGCTCACTTCGGCTCACAAATTTGTTTAACGTAGGATAGTTTGGTAATATCTCATGAATTATTCATAATCATGCTTATAGAATATATTTTGCGCATGCGCTATTTCCAAGTCCGTGACAGCATCAATGATCAGTAACATCCTATCAAAAGCAAATACAACACATGAGACTTAATATTATTTTTTAAAAAACGTATAATACATCTAATCTAGAGCATGTTAAAAAAAAAAGTATTATGCCTGAAGCTGAATTCAGCAAGTTAGATTTGATTAAATTCGCACCTGATAATATAATAATAATAATAATGATATAATTATTATTATTATTATTATCATTATTATTATTATTATTAGTAGTAGTAGTAGTAGTATTATTATTATTGTTATTATTATTATTGTTATTGTTATTATTGTTATTATTATTTTTTTTTTTTTTTATCATCATCGTTATTAAGCTCGGCGATTCTTTATTATTATTATTATTATTGTAATGGTCGACTTAAAATATATAGCGCTTATTTATAGACATGAATGAAAAAAACTCGAGTTGGGTTATGCAACAGTCACCTGTTGTTTAATGGACATGCCACCTAGGATAGTGATTAAGTTCGCTGATTGGCATATCCTTGGCGCTCGTACCTAAAGAAATGAAATTAAAACACAACACATGAGACTTAATGTTATTAAAAAAGACGTATAATACATCTAATCCAGAGGTGACGGAACTAGGGGGTGCTGTGTTATGGAGAGTAATGTGTGACTGGAAATGGTCTGTAGTCAGGTGGTTGTTACCATGCGCCAGTGATGTTGGAGTATATAGTACTTTACAGCAATTTGAAACTATTATGTAGGCCTAATGAATGAATAAAGTTCGGTGTTTGTCGGGTTGAGTGAAATGATTATTTCCCTAAATTCATAAGTGTAAGCTAAATTACGGTGATTAATTTAATTATCGAAGATATGGAGACAATTATTTCGAATCCCTCTTTCCAAGAGGGGATGCAAATGCCTTGTGGAAATGAGTACCGCGTACTCATTTTCACGAAGCATTTGCATCCCCTCTTGGAAAGAGGGATTCGAAATAATTGTGAAAATGAGCACGCCGCGGTACTCGTTTTCACAAAGAAATACACACAACTGGTTAGTTAACAATTATTTTAATGTTACATGAACACCTGGGAAGGAAGGTGCAATCACGTTGTTACTTAGCAAACGTCTGTACTGTATGGGGGAGGGGCTGCTGATGTACTGTGTAGCGGGGGACAATGAGACATAAGACTAGGCCTAGGCCTAAATAAGACAGTGGAATTATATGTGATAGAAAGTACACTTTCGGAATAAATTAATTAAAATAAGAAAAGAAAAATAACTAAGAATAATTCATTTGCAGAGGTACCTTATTTAAGTATTATACAATGCTAACAATGCGGCTCTTGTAGCCCTGGCTTGGACAAGGCAATGTGCAAAGCCAGTGGTGTTTGTTTATTCATGAAAAAAGCACGCCGGGAAAGTTTGCCTTACCAGGAAAAGGTTACGTATCCACAGGTGACGGAACTAGGGGGTGCTGTGTTATGGAGAGTAATGTGTGACCGAAAATGGTCTGCA